TCACAAAAGAAGCAAAACATATAAAGAACCAAATGTAAATTTTATTATATTGAAAAATACAACCATCAAATTCATTTACCAAAAGTTAATGAATTGGCTAAGAAATGCTCATAAGAAAACATAACAAAACAAAAAATAAGAAACGATCACAACAAAAGAACCACAGCAATCTCATGTTCATATCATCAAAGACCTAGAAGAGGGGAGAGGGCAGGACTGGGAAAGTAGTCAAAGAAACTCGGGCTGAAAACGCCCCCAAATTAGCAAGAAGTGTAACCCTAGAGATTCAGGAAGCTGAGTGAATCCCAAATAGGATAAATCCATATGAAGACACACACCACAGTGAAACTCCTAAAAACTAAAGACAAAAAAAATCTCAAAAGCAGGTAGAGCAGAATTCATCTTATTTATCAGGAAAGACAATTTGAAGGACAGTGGGTGTCTCAGGAACCACGGAGGCCGGAAGGAAGTGGCACAGGATTCTCCAAGCACTAAAAGAAGAGTGGTCAGCCCAGGATCCCACACCAGCAAAAACACGCCTCAGGTGAAAGGGCTGCCAAGATGCTCTCAGGTGGAGCACAGGAGCAGCGCCTGCCGCCACCTGACACACTCCTCAAGGCTGCCTAAAGGGGTTTCTCAAAACAGGGATAAATAGATAAACGAAAGGAGTCCTGGAATAGTGGGAGGGAAGAAGGATCATCATAAGCAAAAAGAAATACAACGGACTTTCCATTTCCTCTTCAGTTTTGTGCGTTATGTTGATTGAAGCAAAATTATAACTAAGTGTTTACATTCCAAGAAAGAAAAAGTTTTACATCAATAATCTAAATAAAGATAGGACCAAATACCAATGAAATTTAAACAGAAAAGTCAACAAAACAAAGAGCTGATTCTTCGAAAAGATCAGTAAAACTGACAAACTTCTAGGAAGAGAAAATACACAAGTCATCAATAAAGCAACAGAGAAAGTGGCTGCAGCCGCTGCAGCCCCTGCAGCCCCTGTAGACTTCGGAAAGACAAGAGTGAGCACTGGAGCACCGCGGACACCGCCACACACTGGAATCCGGCAGCCTGCTAACCCTGCCGGCTCTTCAAAGACCTGAGTTATCACAGCTCACCCAGCAGGAATCTGAAAATGTGAAGAATCCTGAAGCCATTAAGGAAATTGAATCCATAATTTAAAACCTCCCCCCAAAAAAGAAATGTTCAGGCCTAGATGGTTTCATTAGAGATTCCAGTAATGCTTTAAAAAGAGTCAATACAAATTCTGTCCTATCTCTTCCAGAAAATAGGAAGACTTGACAATTCACTTCATGAAGCTAGTCATTACCTTAAAACCAAAACCAAAGTAGTACAAAAAGAAAAAGAAAAAAGAAAGAAAGGAAACTGAATACAGGCACAAAAATCCTCAAATATTAGCAAGCAGATTCAGCAATACATACAAATAAATTTAAACACCACGACAAAGTGCGGTTTATTTCAATAATGCAAGACTGGTACAATACTTGAAAATCATCAATGGAATCACCAGTGGCTTAAAAAAAATCACACAGTCATGTCAATCAGTGCAGATAAAGCATCTGACAATATTCAAAACTCATTCACTGTGAAAACTTCCAGTGAAACAGGAATAGAGAACTTTCTACACCTAACGTTACACCTAGTGGTGAAGCATTCAGTGCCCTCACCGGTCAGGAAGAAGCAGCGATCCACTGTCACTACAGTTATTCAGTGCAGCGCTGGAGGTTCTAGTTGGTGCAACAAGACAAGAGAAGCAAATAAAGGACAGGCAGATCAGAAAGGAAGAAATAAGACCATCCCTATTCTTACATGACTGTTCACGTAGAAAATTCAGAGGATCTATACGAAAATTCCTGGAACTAATGAGCTGAACAAGGTTGCTGGATACAAGATAAACATAGGAAATTAATCCAGTGGAATCTAAAAGCTAATACAAATGAATCCATATGCAAGACAGAAACAGACTCACAGACATAAGAAAACAAACTTAGGGGAAAGGGCAAAGGGAAGGGATAAATTGGGAGCATGGGATTAACAGATATAAGCTACTATACATAAAATAAGCAATGAGGGGTTACTGTACAGCACAGGGAACTATATTTAATACCTTGTAATAACACATAGTGGAAAATAATCCGAAAAAATATATATATATACAAGTGAATCACTTTGCTGTACACCTGGATCTAACACAGTGTTGTAAATTAACTATATTTCAATTTAAAAATTAAAAAATAAAAGAAGTAAATGAAATACTTTGGTGTAAATTTAATAAAACGTGTACTAGACTTGTATCCTGAAAACTGCAAAAGGTTGATGATAGAAATCAAGGAAGATCTAAGTAAATGGAGAGATGTACCACAATGATGGATTAAAACACACAACAGAGTAAAGGTGTCACTTCTTAAATTGATATACATGTTTAATAAAATTTCAACCAAAACCTCAGCAAGATTTTTGGTGGTATAGACAAGATTATTCTAAAATGTATATGGAAAAGAAAAAGAATTAGAATAGCAAAAATGATTTCAAAAAAAGACAGTGAGAGGAATCAGCTCACCCAGTTCCGAGACTCGTGTACCTGCAGTACTAGATGCGTCAGCGGCGGGGCAGACACGTCAGTCAGCGGGCAGAAGAGAACCCAGAAGCAGATCCACACAGATGTGCCCAACTGACTGTTGACAAAGGTGAAAAAACTTTCAACCCAAGTCTCATGTCTTAGAAGATAATTAACTCAAATGGATCACAGTTTAAATGTAAAATGCAGAACAATGAAACATTCAGAAGACAGAGGAGAAAGTTTTCAGGGTCTAGGGTTAGGCCACAGGTACTTAGGCGTGACACCAAAATCCTGATACATAAAAGGTAAAGTTGGTAAACTGGACTTCATCAACATTTTTAAAATTTGCTCTATCAAAGATCCTGTTAAGAGTATGAAAAGACGACACACATACTAGGACAAAGTACCTGCAAACCACATGTACAACAGAACACCAGTATCTAGAATATTCTTTTTAAAACAAAAACTATAAAAAGTTAACAGTTTAAAAAAATCCAATTAGAAAAGTGGGCAGAAGACGTGAAGAGACGTTTACCAATACAGACATACACACAGCAAATATGCAAATGAAAAACGCTCAGCATCATTAGCCATCAGGGAAACACCAGTTACAATCACAACGTGATATCATGACAGCCTGTCTACATGAAAAACAGTACATCAAATGCCAGCCAGAAAGTGCAGAAACTGCTAGTGGGAGGGTAACATGGTTCAGCCACCCTGGAAACAGTTTGGCAATTTCTCTGAAGACTGAACATGAAACTACCACACAATCCAACAATTGCATCTGGGCATTTATCCAAGAGAAAGAAAATTTATGTTAACACAGAAACCTGGGCATGAATGTTTACAGAAGCATTTTTGTGATAGCAGGAACCTGGAAATAACCCAGATGTCCTCCAATAGGTGAGAGGCTGACAGATCACGCACACCCCCACGTGAAGGACCGCGGACGGACCGTGGGTCCAGCAGCAACCCTGCGTCTCCGGAGAGTTATGCTGAGTGAAGACAGGCAATCCTGAAAGAGCACACACTGTGCGACCCCACTCAGCCACCACTCCTCACAGGGCCCGAGCACGGAGGTGGGTAACAGAAGTTGCCCAGTCAGCTCTGGGTGCCTGGGAGGGATGCAGATGGGGTTGCTGGTGGGACGATGCTCTCTCTGTCTGCACCAGCTCAGTGTCGGCCCCCTGGCCGTGAGGCTGTGCTGTGGTTCTGCCGAGTGTTACCACTGTGCGAACAGGGTAGCGGTCCGTGGGCTCTCCCTGTATTATGCCTTTTTCCAGGAAGTTCTAATCTTTTTATTGTGGCAAAATATGCAACAAAAAATTTACCATCGTAACCATTTTCGGTGTAAAGTTCAGTGGCATTAAACACATTCACACTGCTGTGCAGCAGTCACCACCTTCCACCCCCAGAACCCCTTCACCTTGTGAAACTGGATCACTCTGCACCCGTCAGACAGTAACTCCCCATTCTCCTGCCCCCCTACCCGGCATCACCATTCTACTCCTGTCTCTGTGATCTGATGACTCTCAGCACCTCATGTAAGTGGAATCACACAGTGCTTGCCCTTTTTGTGACGGGCTTACTTCGCCGAGCACAGTGTCCTCCAGGCTCACCTGTGTTGTGGCAGGGGTCAGAATTTCCTTCCTCGTTAACACTGAAGCACATTCCGCTGTATGTACAGACTACACTTTGCTTATCTCACCCGTTGAAGGACCCTTGGGCCACTTCCACATTTCATCTACTGCCAACACGCTGCCATGAACACAGAGGCACAAAGATCTGTTCAAGACCCCGCTTCCGGTTCCGTGCGGTGCGAGCCCAGAAGTAGACTTGCTGGGTCACACTGCTATCCCATCGCTGGTACTTTGAGGAAACGCCATACTGTTTTCCACAGCAACTGTACCGTTTTGCATTCCCACCGATGGAATAAGAAAGTTCCACTTTTCCCACATCCGCACCAACACTTGCTGGGTTCTTTTTCCTGATAGTCGCCATCCAGGTGGGTGTGAGGTAGCCTCTCATGCAGTTTTCATTGTACAGGCCTTTCACCAACTTGGTTCAGTTAATCCCTAAGCATTTTCTACAGTTTGATGAGACTGTAAATGAAGCTGTTTCGCTTCAGCAGGGAGTACCTGAGACCTGCGCTGAGGGGAGGAAGCTGTTGTGCCATTTCCTGCATCAAGGGCTCGAACCTCCTGCCTTCGGAGACGCCCATGGACCTGGCCTCCCGCCGTGGGAGCTTCACGAGGGTCTCAGCTGCCCCACCTTCAGCCACAAACAGGTCTGCTCGCGCAACAGGAGGCCAAAGACCAGTGTGTTTAACCCTAAACTGCTCTTTAATTGGCAGTTTTCCAAACACAACTGAGAGTGAGCAGCAGATGCTGCAGGCCCGGAGAGGGCGGCCGCCTACCTCATGCCCTCGGTGGAGCGGAGGCGCTGGTTGCGGTAGAGCTGTGGCAGGCCCAGCATGGCCTCGGTCAGCACGGCCAGGAAGCCCAGGGTCTCCACAAACAGGGCCGAGTCGATGGACAGGTACGTGACGTAGCCTGCCACCCCGGTGAAGGCCAGGACGCACTGCACATAGTCCCCAAAGCTGCTCCAGTGCCAGAAGTGGTGCGGGTCGAAGTCTAGGGCAAGAGGGAGAGAGACGTGACTGGGGTGCAGGCCAAGGATGGGGTGGGGAGCAGGACGTGAACCGTGGGCTCCATCTGCCTCTGTCAAGGCATTTCTAAGGGAGCCTTGACACGGATATTACTCACACAAAAATGCTAACATTCTTCAATTCCACCTCAAGTAGTATGGACAGTTAGGGCAATGCCGGACTGTTCCAGAGCCTCCGGGACCTCTCTCCTGGGCTAGAACCCCACTCCTTCCCTCCGCAACTGTGGGTGGCTTAACCTCATGCCTGCATCTCTTCAGGCCTAACAGAGGAATCACAGTACTTGTCTTGTAAGGTGGTTCTCGTGGTTACGTGAGTGTATCTCAGAAACCCCTCAAGGGCTTGGCCTGGAGCAACAGCCGGTGAAGTGCACAGGGTCACCCATGCCCAGCGACCTGACCTGCCACTCGCTGGGCAGACGCGTCCTGCAGAAATCGAATTCACGCACTCATGCATATTAGCAAACCACAGAGCCTCGTGGGCTCCGGCCAAGGGACCCGAGGGTCCTGGCACAGCGGTGGCTGCAGGGACTGTCAGGGAACAGGGCTAAATCCAGGGGAGCATGGGAAGGGTGTGACGTGCCCAGCCTGACCCGGCCCGCAGGCGGCAGGGGCCAGAGCCAGGGCACCCGTCAGGAGAAGACTAGTGAGCCCCGGGAACCTCGTGCACAGCACGGTGACCACAGTTAACAACACCGTACTACGTACTTAAAAGTTGTGAAGAGGAGATTTCAAATGTTATCACCACAATTTTTAAAAAGGTAACTATTTGAGGAGATGCAGGTGTTAACTAATTTTATCGTGGTCATCATTTTGCAATATATATGTGTATTAAATCATAACATTATATATTGTAAATATGTTGTATGTACGTCTTAGGCCGTGTCTGCTGGTCACACCTCGATGTGTCACAGGCAGGCTCTGCAGAGTCATCATAGCCAAGCAAATCGCCCACACAAACTGCCAGGCACGGTGCGTGCTGAGGGTCAGGTCACCGGGAGAGCAGAGGGTCGTGCCCCGTCAAGCCCCCCCGACCCCGGCCACGCGCTCCCCGTGTGGGCTCTCAGGAGGACGAGAGAAACCAAAACGCGAGGCCAAATCGAGAGGAGGCCGGCCTCCTGGGAGCACGCTGGGCTGCAGTTCTGTGGTGGACATTTGCCCAAACGCCCGATGGTACTATGTCTGTAAAGGACCACCAGTGAGAAAGGGAAACCAAACTGACCTGTGTTCACACACAAAACCCACAGAACTGAATTTCATGTAGTTAAACTGGTTAGTGGCAGAAGTACAGCCTCACAGACACATCTGTAAAGGGGTCCTTCTCAAAGCAAGGACCTCACATTTCCCTACCTCCAGCACTTCCACCCCTGGCACTGGCGTGGAGACCCCGCGGGCCAGCAGGCCCCACGTCGCTGTTTGTGCCAGCTGCGAGGATTTGACACCCAGGAAACTGCCCCCTCGAAGGATGAGATGCAAGCAATTCACTTCAAGAACTGAGAGACACGTGTCTTTTTACCGTGACTCACTGTGATGACCTTCAGTAACGAGCAGACTCCCGAGTGTTCAGTCTATAAACTTCGACCATGTGAGTCGGAGTCCAGGTTCTGAACTGAGCTCAGGCACCACAGCTGTCAAGTCACCGCTTGACAGTCCAGCCACCTGAAGATCTGTTACTGTGGTGGCGGTGACAGTGGTGATTTGGGCCGCTCACCACAGCCACAGTCACCACTGAGGACCAAGTGAAGGCGCTCAGGCCCCTCAGGGAACCTCCTGAAAATGCTCTCGCCTGGGGTCTCGTGGGAGCTCAGCCCCAACGTGAAACAATCACCGCCTCATGCAGCGGTGTTTCCACGGCGATGGTGTCCAGGGGATACCAGCCGTGAGCTTCCAGGAGCCTCCCCCGGGGGCTCCCTCAGGATGGCCTTGATTCCTCCAGCAACGGGCTGCGACCAGAGAGGCTCACCGAGAACTCAGCACCCAGACCTTTACTGGAGGCTGGTCATGTCGACACCCCTGCCTGACACACACCAAAATTCCAGACTTCCAGGAGGAAAGCAGATATTCAGACGGCTGAGGCACAGAGTAACTGCCATCGGTTCTGGGAATGGTGGGAAGTGTCCCAAAAGCCAAGTTCCTAGACATCAGCCAGGGGCCAGCTTGGCAAGTGGGCCTTTCTAAGGACAGCAGTCCCAGGCTTGCCGTGTTAACGCTTTTGACACAATCACAAAGACATCAATTCTTCCCAAATTAATCCACAGATTCACAATAATCCCAGTCAAAATCCTAGCATGCTTTTTGTAGAAACTGACAAAATTATCCTAAAATTCAGAAAGAAATGCAAAGGATGTAGACAAAGAACAAAGCTGGGGGACTGACGCTAACTACCTGATTCCAAGACTTACTACCAAGCTACAGTAATTAGGACAGTGTGCTATTGGCAGAGGAATAGAGAAATAAATCAGTGTAACACAATAGAGTCCAGAAACGGATCCCCGAAGCACAGACAGCTGATTTTCAACAAAGATGCAGAGGTGATTTAGTGGGAAAAAAGAAAGTCTTGGACATCCATCTGCAAAAACAATGACGCTGGATCCATACCTCACACCATAAACAAACACTAACCCAAAACGGACTCTCAGACCCACCTGAGGTAACGCCTAAAACTACAAAACTACCAGGAAAAAACCTTTGTGGCCTCGGGTTAGACAAAGATGCCTCAGGTATGACACCAAAATCACAATCCATTAAAGAGCAAACCGATACACTGGACTTCATAAAAATGTAGAACTTCTGCTTGTCAGAAGGTACCATCAAATGAACAAAAAGACAAACCACAGACTGGGAGGAAACCGTGCAAGCTCTGTGTCTGAGCAAAGACCCTGCATCCAAAAGAAACACCCAAAAACTCAATACAAACAATTCTTAAATGGACAGAAGATCGGACACTTCAGCAGTGAAGATGTACGAATGACAAACAAGCGCATGAAAAGGGGCATCGTTAGTGAAACGCAAATGAAAACTGCTGTGAGATGCCGCCACAAACCTACTCCAAGGGCTAAAAATTAAAAAAAAAAAAAAGGTCCATACAAAGTGCTGATGAGGATGCAAAGCAACTGGAAGTCACACGCGGCTGGTGGGTCGCAGAATGGCAGGGCACTTTGGGAGACAGGGCGACAGTTTCTTAAACAGTTAAACACACACTTACCATGTGGTCCAGCCAGTCCACTCCTAGGTATATACCCAAGAGAAAAGAAAGCACATGTTCATATAAAGACCGGCACCCAGGGTTCATTCACAGCAGTTTTACCTGTAACAGCCCAAAGCTGGAAATGATCCAAATCTATCAACCAGTGAATAAACAGAAAAATCGTAGTACAATCATGTAGCTCAACAATAAGAAGGAATAAATGCTCTACAGCCTGGAAAACTCAAAATAACTATGCCGAGCGAAAGAAACCAGACAAAACAGGGTACACACTGTATGATTCCACTCACGTCAAGTTCTAGAAAATGCAAATGAATGTGCAGAACGCAGATTAGTGGTTGGGGTTGGGGAGGGGTTACAAAGAGGAAACTTGGGGCTGATGGGCATGTTTACTGTCTTAATTTGGGTGAAGGCTCCATGGTTGTATACATGTCACAGCCTACCAAAATCGCACCCTTAAGCATGCTCCCCGTGTGCTGGCCACGCCTCAGTAAAGCTACTGACGTTACACGGAGCTGCCTGCAGCAGGGGGGTTCAGAGGGGCCCGAGGAGTGAGCACGCAGCGGGCGGACAGGCCCTCCGTCCACCCTCCTGGCGCATGTCCCACTCTTTGACCCAGTTCCCAGATCTGCGTGTGGGGTCAGCAAGAAGCAGCCAAGCCTGGGGATCCGGGGTGGCCGGATGAGGGCCCTGGATACACAGGCTATGGAGAGGGCGCATAGGTGTGGGCGGGAGAGGACAGAGTGCCCCCCCTCAGGCCTCAGGGGGCTTCAAAGTCATGACAGAAGTGACGGGTGGGGGGAGGCTGGGAGGAGGCCCAGCTCAGGAAGGGCAAACTGTGAATGCAGTTCCATTTCTGCCCATGAGACCCTCACCCCGGGCTGAGGTCTCTTGGCCCCTTCTTGCTAATGGTAGGGCCTGAACAGCCTCTGTACCCTGACCGGGCCACCTCGGGCCCCACGTCTGAGGCAGGAGACTGTGGGACAGACGCAGCAGCACCCAGTGCGTGCCCTCAGCATCTGGCCCTCTGACCCAAGATCAGCCCCCAGCCTCGGAGCACGAGCTCCCCTGGACCCCCAGAACCTCGGATCCCAGTCCTTCATCTGCAGACGAGTCAGAGGAACAGCCCTCACGCTCTTAGAGAAAACCAGCAACAGCAGATGGGTGCCCCAGGTACAGCCACAGGTACCCTCCAACCATGTCCTGGGCTGGGCCCTGCCCAGGCGGGAATGGAGGCCCCACGGAGTACCCTCCCGGGACTGGTGGGCACGGGGACCCCCCCGCCAGCGCCCCTAGGGACCGTCCTAGAACGCATTCCCACTGCGGGGGTGGAGGGGCACTTTGTTGTCTGTACGTCATACTCCCTGCAGCTGGTCTTTTAAAATGTACAAACCCTCACCAATCTCCGTATAGTAGCTTCCTCGTTGTCTGGAATCGCGGGGTCCTGTTTCAAAGGGAAGGGCGGCTTTCTGCGAGTGTGAGTGCGCCCCCACCCGGAAGCCGGGGCCCTCTGGGCGCCTGCGCCTGGCGCAGAGCAGGCCCGGAGCTGCGGCTGCAGACCCAGGAGGTCTGCCGGCTGCCACCGCCGGCAGTC